CGGCAATTTGATGGCCATGAACAATTGACAGCCGGTGTCAAACATTTCATGATCAAATTGAGAGCAGCAAACCAAATAAAAACTGAGAGTGAGAGCGAGAGAGAGAGAAAGAGAGAGAGAGTAGGGGCTGGGTGGAAAGAAGAAGCAAGAAAACTATCAAGGTATTCTATAATATTTATACATGCATTTAACTGGCAGTTAATTTAACAAGCAGACTTTGCAGTTTGACAGAACCTAGGCTGACAAGGACCTAAGCTCGTCTTCATAGTTGACTTGGCTTTATGAATGCGTCTGTCTTACAACCCATAAAAGCGAGAGACCTGGAGTTTTGAACGTAGTTTGTTGCCGATAAACGATAACTTTGCCCGTTTCCAAGCAATCGATAGAATTCGATATCGAAGTGCTCTTTTTTGAGCAAAACTCTTACGTTTTAAGAGCTACAGTAAGTGTATTTGACATGTAGCTTCTCGTTTAGTACATACAGAGTAGGCATCTTTTGGCTTTTAGTTAACCCCGAACCCCATCCTTACCTTACCTAGAGCTGCATTTGCTTTTGGTAGAAGAAGGTTCATTGTATCCCCAGTTCGGGCAACTGCGACTAGATAACTTAACCAAACCAAGACTTGTAGCCAGCCTAACATATACTTATAAGGTCCTTAACTGCTTAGACGGTTCTCAAGTCTTTAACTTTCTCAAAGTAAGAGCTATGCGAGATTTCAGTTCAATCAACTTATCCCATTGAAAAGTTCCTTCCCTTTGATCAAGAACAGTCCAGCAATGATCCTCTCTTAACACCTAGTTAAATGAAATGAGCTTCTGTTAAAGTCTTTAACGTCGAGCATTACGAATCGATTAACTCAGCAACTGGATATATATATATATATATTGGTCGCTTGATCGTACGGATTCTGGTGTTCCAAACTCAGTCGAATGCAGCGAGTCTTCGTTGCCTTTGTTGCTCATTATTCTCCTAAATACGCACACGTGACCAACTCACGTCACGCCGGAAACACAGGAGAGCCAAAAGAGAGAGACCAGATCTAGCAACGCATACGAAGCCACACACAGCCTCAGTTCGCAAACTGAGTCCCCATTCTACCAGAACTAGTATCTACCAGCACACCTTAAAGTCTCATGCCTATCGAGAAGCTGCAGTACTTCCTCTCCGACATACATACATATATATTATTTATTTCTGGTAAATTTAATTATTAGTTTAAAAATCCCATGAAAGTGTCATCTAGCAATAACTTGCATTTCAATTTGGTTCAATTTAAAATTAAGTACTTTTTTTTTGTGTATTTTTTTAAATTTCCTGGTCAACAATTATGAGCAGGCAGCTCTTTAGTTAAAAAAAAAACAAAAACTTTCGCTTGCACAGCAAAACTCAAGATGACACAGTCAAAATGTGATGAACATAAAACTTATGCAAAGTGCAGCGCCTGTAATGAAAGCAACAACAACAGCAACAACAACAACAACAGCAGCAACAATAAGGGTAAAATCTACAACAAATACCTGGAAGCTCGACCTTGGCTTGGGGCGCGTCAAAAATCGTAACGCCAAGTGTCTGAAAGTTGGCGGAAAACAAAAAAAAATGGAAAAAAAGGGAAGCCAACAACAAAGTGGAACTGCGAATATACGAATGATCGTCGCGCGTCTGGCCGAAAAGGAGTTCCAGGAGCCGCATGCAGAAGTGTGCGAAAACACCAAAAACACAGATGAGGGGGAAAAAAATGAAATAATAATAATAAAAAAATAAACGAAAAAAAAAGGCAGCGAAATGATGATGCGATGTCAAGTTATTGACAGGCCCAAGTCGATATTAATGACGACTTCATTCGCGGCAATATCGCGCCAGTTGTTGTGAATGCATTTTCGATTCATATGCGATTCGTTTGGGTAGTATTCGTTGCGATTCGTTGCGATTCGTTTCGATTCGTTTCGTTTTGTTGCTGGCCGTGTCTTACTAGCAATTATTGCGAGCGCGCTGCGGCAAATATTATTCAACTAGTTAGGCGCGATTCGCGGCGTTCAGCCAAAGGCTGTGCCCCCCCCCCCCCCCCCCTCCCCTCCCTCGCCACGTTCAGCAGTGTTTTCCAGGTCGCAGTCCCATATTTAAGCCAACATGTCAACATAATTTATATTAAATTTTTGTGTCAGATAATGATAGCGCCTGCTGCCGATCGCTAAATATATCTGCATGCTGCCCTGCCGCATGTTGTTTTCGACCTGTCTCCATCTCAGTCTCACCTCAGCCGCAAAAGGCTTTAAGCCTCACTATACAACAACAACAAGGCTTTGGCATCGGTGGCGGCATCCACAGTTGTTGATTATGTGTACCCTCAGCGTTGGCTGCAACAGCTATGTGAGCTGTTTTGTCGCAGTTGATGCGAGTTAGTTTTTCATCGAAATACTAATATATCTGATTGTAACTCAGGTATGCGCTACGTTATTACCATGATTAAGCTGTTTATCTAAAGAAAGGCTAGCCGGAAGCTAGCATCCCAAATTTCAGAAGCGCAACTGCCAAATTTCTCGAGTTGATCGAGGATCAACTGAGCTGTTGTGATATATGATTAGAATAATTATGCATAGGACTTACCTCAAGGGAGACCTGGAATTCTATTCTACCATTCCCCATATCAAATGTTAGTCATACAAATAGTAAGTTCTCTTACTATCTCGTTTTGTTTGTTTCACTCAAAAACTGTTCAAACTGCGAACCGGTTCAACCCGATTGAAAGTCTTTTGCTTTAGCTATACGTTTTTAACAAATCACATTTTGTGTTAAATTTAATCTTATGCATTACAAATATTAGTTTTCTACTACCAGAGCTCTTTTTGTTGTAGCTTCGCAAAATTTGTGAACTGGTTCATTTGGCTCATTGAAGAGTTATACTAGTTCGTGTAAGATTTAACTATATGGAAGAGTTAGAGCTTTCACGCGTTTTGGTTTTCAGTTGAGAATTACATTGAACTAAAAATCAACCCAATGTACACAAAATTTGATTCAGGTCAGAGTTACATTCTGAAGTCTGAGTCTGAACTACTATAGAACTAGTTCATATGTGCTTGAATTTTATATGGAGCATACAAGAGTTTTACTTTTATACAAATACACAATTTATACAACACTTGTATGAAACCTTAAATAAAACTAAAGTAGAAAACATTCGTCTCTTTTGACTCTGAACCACTTTTGAGCTGGTTCTTATGAGCTAAAACTAGAGCTATGGAGTGTGTAGAGCACTCTGCTGTTTAAGGCCTCAATATATTTGCTCAAACTCGAACTATTTGCAGAGCATTCGATTGTCGGTTATGCCCGTCGAACCGTTATTGTGGCCTGTTCAGGCGGCATTAAGCGTGCCGAAACGCAAAGCGAACCGGGCCGCGGTTAACGTTCGAATGGAACGCGAAACGTTAAAAATAATTCACAATTTATATATGAACGATGCGAGCGACGAGCACGCCAACTGTGGGGCAGAAAACTGATGAAGAAGAAGAAGACGTTGAAGATGAAGAAGACAAAAACAAAACCAAAATAAATATAGTGCACAACAAATCGAGATCCCTTCACCCCAGAGCGAATTTCTATTGCATCAACATAAATGCCACGGATCGAGAATCGAATCAGAGTGCAAAGTAATTCGCAAATCAGTTCTGGGTCAGCTTCGGGTCAGCTCTGGCTAGCTGAACATCTGGACCTGGACCTGAACCTGGTTCCTGGCCCATGCAATGCTATGCAATCTCCCGCTGCTGCTGTCGCTGCTGCTGATGCTGCTGCTGCAACGAAGTGTTAAATGAGGCACAGCGTGCGGCTGGGCCGGTCCATTGGGCCATTGAGGCTGAAGCTGAGGCTGACGCTGAGGCTGTGGCTGAGGCTAAGGTGTCCAATGTCAAACGCTTTGACACGGTTTTGTGCCGGCGGGCAACCAGCAGAGCCGCACCGGGCATAAAGGATCAGCGCTAACAATTGGGCTAAATGCTATCGAGTACGTTCCGGGACGCTGTCCTTGTGACAACGGGTGCCCCAGACGTTGGCCATAAAGGACAACCTGGCATTAGAAGTGTTAATGGCCAACTGCAACCGGTCAGACCTTGAGAGCTGCACGATACTCTGACCAAATGAATAGGGGCCCAACTCTAGGATATCTAAAAGCAGCACGGGGGAATGGGGGGATGGAGGGTAGAGGGGGGGCAGCCAGCAACTGCTCCAAAGTGCGGGCACACGAACAAGCGAGCAACCGGTTCGCAGCCGGCACGCGACAGCAACAGAGGCAGAGAAAGAGAGTGCGAAAGAGAAAAAGAGAGAGAGAGAGAGAGGGAAACAATGAGAGAGGGAGAGAGAGCAACAGCCAGTCAATGGACACAGACATATAATCAAAGGCAGCTGCTCCAAAAACCAAAAAAAGAAACCGCAAAAAAAACTCTTCCCAGTCTGGCAGAAGAAAATGCTCAAGACTCTTCCCAGCTCAACAGAGCGGCAGAGCGGCAGAGCGGGAGAGAGAGAGAGAGAGAGCGCGCGATTGAGTGAGAGAGAAATTGAGCGAGTGAGTGAAACTCTCGAGTGAGTGCAGCTCCCCGTCATCTGTTTGAGTGAATGATCCTTGAGCGGATGCTGCTCGCTGGTTGGCTGCGCGTTTGCACCTTTTGTCTGGAACACAGGTAGCTGCTGCTGCTGCAACGGCAGGTGAGAATTGTGGCTACGATGCGCCCTATAAATAGCGCGCACGGCGCAGGGAAGGGCATCAGAACAGCGACATCGCTCGCAGGGCCAAGTCCAACTCCAAGAATAATCCCAAAAGCAAACTAAACCAAAAAAGTAAAAAACCAATTTTCAACTACAAAAAAAAAAAAAAAAAATGGCACTGGGCAGCGAGAATCAAAGCCGTAGTCTATATCGTCTGGCGCCCTATGCCAAGCCGAGCAGCAACAGCAGCAACAACTATCTGCTGCAACAGCAGCAACAGTTGCTGCTGTCGGAGCAACAACAGCCAATGCTGCTGGGCGGGCCATCAGTGGTGCGTCGCAATGCACGGGAACGCAATCGTGTCAAGCAGGTGAACAATGGCTTCAGCCAGCTGCGACAGCATATACCCGTTGCGATCATTGCGGATCTGAGCAATGGCAGGCGCGGCATCGGACCCGGCGCCAACAAGAAGCTCAGCAAGGTGAGCACATTGCGCATGGCCGTCGAGTATATAAGGCGGCTGCAGCGACTCATCGACGACAACGATCAGCAACAGCAGCAGCAGCAACAGTTGCTGTCGCCGCAACAGCAGCTGGCACAGCAGCAACAGTTCAGCTACCAGCAGCAACAGTTGCAACAACAGCAACAGCAATTCTATGCGCTGCAACAGCAACTGCAGCTTATATCGCCCGGCGGCAGCAGCTGCAGCTCTAACGCCTCCAACGACTCGAATGCCTCCAGCTCCAGCAGCAGCAACTATTATGCAACGCAGCCAGCCGAACTGAAGCTGGAGTCGAGCGGCGGCAGCTATGAAGATTATCCCAACAATTCGTGCAGCTCCGGCGCCGAGGATGACGACATACTCGACTACATCTCCCTGTGGCAGGACGACATCTGAGTGCAGTCCTCCAGCCAATCCAACCCAACCTAAACCATTTCCAGGGCAGCCAACTAGTCAGACCCAAAACGCAACACACGCCTGGCATAAAAGTATTACCTCAGCAAAAAGAAAGTATTTATTCTAGTTTAAGCACTTTTTTTTTCCTACTCTCGTAATAACATTACATTTTTTTTTGCAAGAATTTTGTACAAATTAGTCTTAAGAGCGCTGAATGTGCCTGCTTTTTATATAGTTTATAGGACTGCCTAAATCTAAGAACTAGCTAAGAACATGGAAGACAATTACTTTTAAGCAACTTTTTTTTTTAACAAGAAAACAACAAACATACATGGAGGACACTAAACTGATAAATATAGTCAAAACTGATTTTAAAAACAAATCAACAAACATTTTTTATTATTGCGAGAAAACAAAATTGGGCTATTAAAGAGAAAAGGTTGAGAATTCGAATAGAATATGTCTACAATTTAAGATTAAACACAAGAATTTGTATCTGTTGCATTTTGAGTGCATTTTGGCTTATTCAAAAATATATGCTTAACCGTAAATAAGGTAAGGATGTCTGCGGCAATCTGGAAGACATTTTCCTTTTGCAAAATATCTGAAGCTCTTTTTGAATATTTTGTCATAGAAGAACCTTATTTTCGATGAAACTCTCCTATGACAGCTATATGATATAATAACCCGGGAGCTTCCGACTAGGGTATACCCTGAACCCTCTTCTTCTAACATCAAATGCATATATATATTATGTTTTAGAAGCTATATGTCAAGTTTGCTGACTCTAGCTCTTATTATTTACCAAAATTGCCCAAAAAACAGGATATCGATATCGATTTCATATTGATTGCTTGGAAACGGAGCAAGTTATCGATTATCGGAAACAAACTCGATCTGTGCGGGAGCTAGGAGCACCTACATCTACATCTTTCAAGTCTCTAAGTCTATATAGTAGCCCGATGTTGATAGCATTTTGCACATATATGAGAATTATAGTGGAACTGTATAACAAAAAGGTTTCCATACCGGAATCTACTTCTCAACCAATGGCAGCTATATGATATAGTGCTCCGATCCTGTCGGTTCAGTCAAAATATATCTACTTTACGGGGTCGGATGTGTCTCCTTCAATGACAAAATCGTAATACCCTATACATTATATAGGTATGAGTGCTTTAGGCAGGTCTTCGACTATGATATACGCTGATATACCCTGTATTTAATAGGCAGCAGAAGGCTTCTGCGAGCCCATTAAGGGTATACATGTTTGATCTACCCCATCTGCCGCTCTCTCTGGCCTTCTGTGTGCATCGCTCTGGTAAACAAAAAGCGAGTTTTTAGTTTCGATATATATATATATAATCTCTTATTTCATATACAAAACGAGCTAATCAAATCGATACTTCTTTTATTTTCATAACATCGATATATATCGATATATATCGCTGCTGAGACAAGAATAACTCGAGGATTAATAGAGTTATCTACATGAAACTTGGTAAGCAGTTTCTTTTGTTGGTGTCTACAGGAGAGGAATATTTTACCCTTCGAATAACTCTGCCCATTCACAACAAATTGTCTAAAGAAACTCAATATGAAAGATAGAGCCTTGCGCCTTGGTTTGCGTACATATTTATGTAATCCTGTGAAACACCGAAAGTTTCATGAAAATCGGACTATAAATATCAAAGTTACTTGAGATTGGACTTGTCAAACATAGTTTGGATCTACGGGAAGAAGAAGCACAGGAAATTCCGATTTGATGAATCGTTAACTCGGCATTGGATTCAGGGTATCTACCAGTCGAGCACTGCCGACTAGAGCATTCTACTTCTTCATCTCAAACTTTAGCTGGTTTTGCAGAATCACAATTTTATGTTAATCTTAAGATGCGTCGAGTCTTTAAACTGCAGCGTATACCGTTACGCGCTTCTACTTCTGCGACAAATTGTGCTGAAAATGTGGCAGAGAAATGTTATGCAAACGATTTTGTTGGAGCTGTGAGCAGAGCGAGAAGCGCACAGAGAAGAAGTTCAAGTTATTTGGCGCATTTTTGCATATGGAAAAGGCATCGAATGCCGCCAATTCCGAGCGATCGATCGATCGATTGTACCAAAAGCTGCCTGCCCAATTGAACTAATTTTGAGATATGCGCAAAATGCAGGACGACAACAACAAGTCAACAATTCACAGATCGCCCCCGACAAAAGGATTGGCAAAGCCCAAGGGGGAATTGTGCTTGGGATTTGTGCGGGGTGGGTTGGGCTGGGGTGGAGGGGTAGAGACTGGAACGGAAGCTGCCGCTGCGACGGGGCGATGCAATGCGATTCGCGATGCTTCACTGAGATAAGCGAAAACAACGACAACAACAACAACGACAACAACAACAACGACAACAACAACAACGACAACAACAACGACAACAACAAATGGGCCGCGGCAACGACAATGGGAACATATCTGACCATGTCCTGGCCCGGCGGATGCGCCAGTTCTAGTCTCCGGCTTCATCCGCTTCAAGAACTTTTGAGCTACACAGAAGACAAAAAAAAGACTCCCACGCGCATTTCCGGTCTAGTCAGTGCTTCCTCTCTTGCCCCTCGCTCTCTCCCCCCTCTCTCTCTTTCCCTCTCACATTAATAGATAAATGAATTGGCATACGCATTTCCGTCACTTGCAGGGTCAATGGGGAGCTGGCGAGGCGGCCTTTGGGGCCGTCGTTTTCTTTTAATGCCAATTTCGCGAGCTGTTGCTGTTGCTGTTCTTCTTCTTTTTCTGCTTCTTCTTCTTCTTGCTGGGGTCTTGTTGCAATCAATTCGAAACGCAGCCAGCAGCAAAACGAACGGTTTTGCTGTCTTGGCAACTCAAGCTTGCAGTCTCTGCCACAGCTTCAACCTCAACCTCAGCTTCAGCTTCAGCTTTAGCTACAGATATTTCTTTTTATTTTGTTTTTGTTTTTGGGGCCGCATCTTCATGGCGCATTTATCGAATTATTATTTCCGGTTTTTCTTTTTGCAATGCCCTGTTCCCCATTCAAAACAGCCAAAAGAAAGCAAAAAGGAATATAACAAAGTGCAAATGCTTGTTAAAGCTAAAGACTAGCTATTAAATACATGTACGCATCAAATATGCATGCATACAAAACATATTTACGTGCATATATTGATATATTTCTATACTGACTGACTGACAGATTGACTGATTGATCAACGCAGAGGCCAAGTCGTTAGAGCTAGGATGTTGAAATGGGCCTATTGGAAATTCCACCCGGAAATATGGAAAAGCCGTGATAAACGGTTGCATAAATTTTTTGCGTAAACCATCCGATCCGCTTCAAAATCATTATCAAAAATATTTGTATAGATATATATATATCTTATATCTTCGTCAACTCATAAAATCATTATAATACGTTTAAGAATAGCCGTAGCTATATAGAAGTAATACTTGGAGTAATACTTAGCATCTCGAAAATCACAAGAAAATCTCAAAAGTTAATCACAAATTAGCAATGAAAAAGGAGAGCAAAAATGCAGACATTAAATTAATAATTATTTATACAAGAGGCCGCAGATTGGGTTCGATATCTATATAATATCTAGGGTCTAGTTTCTAGTATCTAGCATCTATTATAATACCTAGTATCTGGTATTTAGCATATAGTATCTAGTATTTAATATCTAGTATTTGGAGTCTAGTATCTAATATCTAGTATCTAATATCTCATATCTAGTATCTAATATCTAGTATCTAGTATTTAATATCTAGTATCTGGAATCTAGTATCTAGTATCTAGTATCTAGTATCTGGAGTCTAGTATCTAATATCTAATATCTAATACCTAGAATCTTTTATCTAGTATCTAGTATCTAATATCTAGTATCTGGAATCTAGTATCTAGTATCTAATATCTAGTATCTTGAATCTAGTATCTAGTATCTAGTATATAATATCTAGTATCTGGAATCTAGTATCCAATATCTAATACTTAGTATCTTTAATCTAGTATCTGGTATTTTTTATATACTGTCTAATATTCAAATATAAAACTTATCTCTGGAAATTTAAGTTTTGCATACCCAAACTAATCAAAAATTCCAAGCTAGAACCCTAATATACACCTTGCATTGAGCAAAAATCATAAATAAATAAAATGGCTCAAGAAACTTTACAGGGTATGTGCCAGTCAGGCGCGCACTTGTTATTTTCGCATTGGGTTAACATAATGTATGCAGCAAATGCAAGCGGTCGAAAAGCCCAAAAAAACCCAAAGATGAGATACAACATCATCATCAATATAGAGTTTTGGGGGGAATTTTCAAAGTGAAAAAAAGGCTTGAAAGACAGCAAGATGGTGGGCAGGGCAGGGGGGGGGGGGCGGGCCTCTCTGGTGGCGGTCGCATTGGGCGACATACGACAAAACTGGTGCAAAATCGAACGCTCTTTGTGTGAACTCCATAAAATGTTTGACAACGAACGAAACCGAAAGAAACCCAACCAATATATATACATATATGTGCATATATATATATATATATAAATGCATGTATGTATGCAGAACGGAATGGCAAACAAATGCAAAGGCCCTGCAGCGTACAGGAGTACGCTCTTTACATGCACCAGGCCGAGGAGGAGACACACGCTGGGGTATCCGAATAAATTTATGATTTATTAAGGATGCTCTGATTACAACACGCCATTGACTGAGAGATCTTGGCTTCGATGCTTGGCTGCTTGGGGACGTGAAATTCAGCCTGACTGATGTCTCGTAAATAACGCTCGCATAAACAACAACAAGAAGAAGAAGAAGAAGAAGCAGCAGCGGCAGCAACAAGTGAGTTATTTGTTTAACATGAACAGCGAACACGTTTTTGACTCACAAATATGTTGACAAAGAATAATGTAATTTATGTTCAGCCAAGCTACGCTGACATTTTATATTTTTTGTCATTTTTTTGTTTGTATATTTTTTTGCGCTGTCAAGATTTCACCCAAAGCCCATAGACGGCGCACGGAGAGACATGTGTCAACTAGCCTCAACCGCATTGCAATTACAGATATTTGCGCCGATACCAAAAAAAAAAGTAGAAGAAAAACACGCCCTCGAGACGGCTAGATCTTAGTCTTGCACAATATTTCCGAGTTTTTCACAAGTTTTTCTAGCGAACAACAAGTGCATTTTCTGAGCCAAGCATCCACTTGTCGCCGCGCTCGTAAATTAAGCGCTTAGCTGCTTATTTTTCTTTCCCTTAGTTCTGCCTTTGTTACAATTTTCCACATTTTCCATTAACTGCCCATGGACAATCAAAAAAC